TGAATTTGTTCATCTCGGCCAAAAGCAATATCATCATCGGGATTATAGGTTTAATCCGCGCCGCTTCGCTCTGATGTACTTCATCATGAAAGAAATCTTAAACGCTCTAGCTTCGGAATATTTTTAAAGTGTCTAACATGTTTTCAGAGATGCGAGAACTGAGAAAAAATTGATCTTTGGAAATTCATGTATGACTCTCCGGTCGGATTCTGACATAAACTAGTGGTGGCATCATGCCTTAAGACAATATACAGTAAATGGAAATTTTTAAAAGCTTTAAAATTTTTTGAAATCTTTGAAAAAATTAGATTTTTGAGAATTTTGAAGTTCTAAAAGAAAATTGAATCTTTTTCAGCATCTTTGAACACCATGTGTATTTAGTACATTAAATTAAATGGTGTATTCAGTACATTATATCAAGAACTTTAAAACGTTTTTCTCAAATTGACTTTTTCAATGCGGTGCCACAAATTAAACAAAAACTACAAGTCGGATCGACTTGCATTTTTTTTAAATTTGTTCACCACTGCAATACCGAGTCCCCCTACCTCAAACAACTTGATAACATTACGCAAAAAAATTTTGCGAAGCTTTCGCCCCAAAAAAAGGCATTTTTGACACTTTTTTAAATAGCTGCCATTTTTTCCTTCTTGCTTTTTTTTTCATTTTGGTAGGGGAGGACTGGATTCAAACTTCTTCTTCAACGTAGTTTCGGTTTTTTTTTGTGTTCGGGCGATGCGCAACGGATTTATCTGTGGCACCGCAAAAGAGATCGATTTTGCAAGACCGACTTTGGCGCCCCCTGGTTAAAAAATGACGGCGCAAAAAAAGAAGAAAATCACGTAATATTCTATGATTTTGTAATTTTTGTTTAAAAAAAACCGCATGTCTCTATGATAAATACATTTCGAGAAAAAACAAAAACAAATACCTTGCATTTTTTATAACAAAAAAAAGACAACCCCCTAAGCAAAATACAGTAGATGAAAATTTTTAAAAGCTTTAAAATTTTTGGAATCTTTGAAAAATTAGATTTTTGAGAATTTTGAAGTTCTAAAGAAAATTGAATCTTTTAAAAAATTGCAATTTTACGGGAAGTTCCAGAATTTGCCTTAAGACACGATGCCATGCACCACTAGTATAATCCTCTATCAAAACTTTCTTCTCTGCTTTATATTAACCGCCATTGGACACAAATTCTATGCGTACTATTATGACCCGATGTACTATTTTTCCCCAAATTGCTCTTGACTTAACTTGATTTTGATATGATGGGTCACACTCCCTACAAAATGTGTATAAACAATAATTAGGACTTACACATTTATAACATGTATTTTCATTGTACTCTGTTTTCCAGTGACTTCTGTCCCCCGTCAAGGGGATAATCGACAAAGTTCACAACACCACCACATTAGTTATCAATTTTTTCCTTCATAACAGCGACCATTAACCATTATCGTGCAGACATCAATCTCGATGTGTCTGTCCGTTTTGCTACAAGCGCATCCCGAAACCAAAAATCTATAAATTGCCATCGATTGATGGCCCTACGCGTGCCTCTATTTTAGCCCTAGCTGCCCAGGCTAATAGGGACGTAATTAACGCCACTGGACGGCGACGGCGGCAGAGCAATCGGGGAAAAAAATAGAACATCGAGGCATAATAGTACGCATAGGATTTGTGTCCGATGGCTAGTTGATATAAAGCAGAGAAGAGAAGTTGGTAGAGGATTATAGAAGTCATTTAATTGCACATGAACAAATTTTTGACGGGCCTACAAATTTTTAACAAATTAACGACTTTGAGATTCAACACTATCACGTCTAATTTGAACATTTCAACGCTGAGATACAATACATCACGTCCAACTAGTAGAATATCAGAGATTAGTTTTCGGAAAAATGACATCAAATTATGTAAGACACTTAAATTTCTGGTACACATTAACACATTATTAACTTCCCGTAGGGCAAGTTATAGCAAAAAATCGAAAATGGAAATTTTTATATATCTTTACGTTGCAAAGGTTTCTGAATATTTTGGCATACCATAGAAAAAATGGATGTATGTGTGTGTGTGTGTGTTCGAATACAAAGCGATTTTAATAATTCGAAAAACCTTCGATTCGTATTGATAAGGAGACGTGCGAATTAGTTTTTGGCGAAGGCAGGTCTAGCCGTTCCGAAGATATGGGGCTAAAATTTTATGCCGATTTGTGACCTTTCGTCGACGTTTCTCGAAAACGGCTGAAACTGATTTTATAAATTTAAAAGCCATTCAATGTAACTCGGCAAGGACTAGAGCTTTGTAATTAGCAGGAAAGTGTGTAAAAACTTTTGTCGATACTTTAGCCCATTCAATCGATTTTAAATATTCAAGAAACTGTTTGAAAGATATTGTTTGGAAGTCTTGTTGATTACTTTTGGTAGAAATAACGTAAATTTTCTGAATGTTAAATAAATCTGTTATAAAAAAAATAATTAAAGACTAAACTCTAGACATAAAAATTTTGTGCCTGCCTGCTGAAACTTATTTGTGTAAACAACACATAACAAACGAGGCGGGTCTCGAACCCTGAATCTGAATCAAATATTAACCGCTTATCTACTGGCAACTAGTTTAAATAACTTTACATCATGCATCATCCCACAATTTCTCCAATTTTATTCGCATTGGTAGCAATACCAATACAAAAGTCAATGCGATTTCGATCAAATTTCTCTTTTTTCCATCGAAATCTTTGTAATCGCACCATTAGTCTGCTCAGTTGCTAATGAACGAACGAACGCCTCTGTTATCCGAGTCCGCTTGTCTGTTCGTCCGTCCATCCGTTAGTTCGGCGTTCGGCGTTTTATTTATCGTTACGCGCGTCGGATAAGCTGCATCTAATGAATCACATGGAGGCGAAACAGGACGAAAATGCATTCAGGGCAATCATACAGTCGATGGGTAGTAGCCGGTTAATTACAAATTTATAAAAGTTACAAATTATATATATATCAAATTTAGATTGAACTAGTGGAGCGCATGGCATCTAGCCTTAAGCCAAATTGCTGGAACTTCCCGTACCAAATATTATTATTTATTTTAAAAACGATTGACATTTTTGAAAAAAATTTACTTAAAAAAAATTAGATTTTTGAGAAACTATGAATTTGACAAAAAATTACTTTTTTGAAAAAAATGTTTTCTTTATTTTGACATATTTTGGAAATTCTGAACTTTTTTTTTCAAAGCAATCGTACTGCTTTAACTGCATAGAGACAAATTGTAAAAGCGCGTAAGCGCCGATTCGCCGTCTAACGGATAAACATTGATACGGAACCCATAGGAATGTAAACAAAATTCATACTCATTGTTAAAATCTCTACAAAATATCTGATAATTTGACTTGCATATGCCTAATGATCATTTTTGACCGTCAAATGACATTTTTTTTTACTTTTTTCGTTAGATCTCCGAAACTGCTAGACCTGCCCTTATGAAAATCAATTCTTCATCTTGTCAATACAAGTAAAATGTTTTTTGATTTATTAAAATCGGACGCTCCGTTCTCTTAAAAACTGAGATACCGTTTTTGGCACTTTTTGCCCCATATCTTCGGAACGGATAGACTTGCCTTCGCCAAAATCTAATCAGCACGTTTCCTTATTAATACGAATCGAATGTTTATTGAATTATTCAAATCGCTTCATCCGTGTTCCCAAAATCGTCGACGAAAATTTATATCCCCACACACATACATACACGCACACACACACACATACACACACACACCTACACATACATCCATTTTTTCTAAGATATGCCAAAATATTCAGAAACCTCTAAAACGTAAACATATATAAAAATTTTCATTTTCGATTTTTTTGCGATTACTATAACTTACCCTACGGGAATTTAATAAAAAATATATTAAAACCTTAAAAATCCAACGTTAACTGATAAAAAGTTAGTTCAATAAATGTGATAAAAATAGAGCAAAAAATAAGAAATGGGGGTTACTTGAATATTAAATTTAGATTGAATTATAGTGGATTATATAATATTTGATAGCGGGATAAAAATTATATTAAATTGTGACAAACATACAATATGTTTTGAGTTGTAGTTGGTTAGTAAGTAGATTATTGGGATAGTAATTATCCTTCATTATTTGAAGTCATAAAAAATTTTACATTGTATATACGAGTTGTGTTCAAAAAGAACTAGGAAAAACTTTTAAAAAATTCTCGAGTCTGGAGATTCCGAGTGTAAAAATTTTCTTGTGTTGAATGTATTAGTATACATTCCCATAAAATATGTTGAAATTTTCAACAATATTCACTATTTTCTTACTCAGTCTGTGGCAGTCGCTGAGGTTCGACGTGATTTTATGGCTTGGCGATGATAAATTTCATCATACTTGTTCTGATCGTTGATAACTAATTTCATTCTCAAACCATAATAAAACAACTTTACTAAATTAATTTAACTTAACCTAAGAGACCATTTACTTATTATTAAAAATCTTAAAATAGATATTTAAGAACACACTCTTATTTCTTCGCCCTTTACCTAAAATTACCCCGACTTCGTATTTTTATCCATTCCCGTTTCATAACCAGCATTTTTTTCGTAGTATCTGTGATCCTGGCAAAGCGGTTTGTTTTGTATAAATATTTTTACGAATATCGCAAATCAAATATTTGTATTCGTTTTCAATATATAACCGGAATACAACCGCTGCGAGTACACATAAAAAGCAGATTAAAAAATAATGACTGATATACGAAACGTCTGATCTTTCGCCTCTGTACGATCTGGGCTTAAAATAAATTATTTTTTGAAAAAAGTATGGAGTAATATTACGAAATCGATATTATAGACATACATTGGCTGTGATATATGTTGAGAGTTTATTATACAGAGTAGACGAAAAATAAAAAAAATGCTTTTCTTTTAGTATTCATGAGATGGGGCAAAATCAAATATTATTAAAATAAATAATTTTTATATCACTTACCGGTTTCCCGAGTCCAATAATTGATCGCTTTTGGTGACGCCTCAACGTGACAGATTAAGGTGACATCAGTGCCTGCGGGTGCTCCAACCAGTTGATTTGGTACTTGAATCAATGGGTGAACTAAAAAAAATTTATTAATACATAGAGATTATTACAAAATAAACAACAAAATATAGATTTAAGTGTGTTCGAAAACAGTAAGTGACATATTATATATATCAAGTAGGGGAGACTGGGTACGGTAGACACTGTGCTGATTTTGAGCTAGGATTCATAGGGAAAAATATCAAATATGATTGTTTCAATAAGTTCCTATTATTGGTTTCAGTCAGTGCCTAATAAGTAAATTTTCATTTTAATAAATACTGTGAATTGTATCCAGATAGTTGACATTGTTTGTTGAGCTGTAAGTTGGACATTAGTAGTTATTTACCAGCATTTTTGCTAATATGATATAAGCTAATAAGATATAATTTTTTGTTAATCTTAAATATAAAATGAATCGCAAAATGTGTTGGTAAGTGCATAACTCAACAACGCATGAACCAATTTGGCCAAGAATAATTGTCGGGGAAACCCTAAAAACAGCCCTTTTCTTTTTCTCATACAAACGTTTTCTAACTAAAACGTAGAAAAAATTTGAGCTTTATTGCTATTATATGAAGTTCACATTAAATTACCAGCACTCACTGTATACTCCTTCTAAACAATTATACGGATTTTGATAAATATTTCTGAAGTTTGTTAAGGAAATTTTCTAGGATGTATGTGATTATAAAGTACTGGGATGTATGTGCAATATTGTAGAATTAAATGGAAAAAATTGTAAAAATCGACATGTCATTGTTTGCATTCAAAACAAATAAAAACTGTCATCTGCCAAAAATTTCAATTTACTTATGAACCTAGACAATGTTAGAATATGTATAATAAATTTATGATTATGTATAAAAAAAAAGAAATGTCTACATTATTATTGCCAAAAAGCAGCCGAGATGTGCCAGAAATAATATAAAATACATTATATGTATGGCAGATTGAATGATACATATATGGACAGGATATGACAAATTAATTCACTTAAAATATAAAATTGAGTTTTAATCAGGGCCGGTCCTACCATTAATGCGATGCATGCGAAAAATACGAGCGCACGCCTTAGGTGGCGCCAATACAAGATTTGGATATTAAATTTTCAATAAAGTTTTTTTTTCATTATATAATTTCTTTGCATCTTCTACTAATCTTTCCACAATATTTTTAAAATTCGTAAAAATTTCACTTTATAACAACAAATGGGAAACTAAAGATGAATACATACAATTTCCAATATAGTGTGAGAATTGAGACTCATCATTTTATTTAAAGCAATTCTACATTTAACATCGCTCATATTATAAATGGATATGCATTTTGGCGTGAAGAGTAATTTAAAAACAACAATTATTATTTTTAGGTAAACGGTAAATATTAGAATAATTATATTAAAGAAATGTAGACATGGGTACAGCACAACGTCTGTCGGATCATCTAGTTAGATATAATTTTGCTAATAAGATATAATATAATAATAATATAAGATAATTCAGTTAGATGATGATTTGTTTTCAAGGTATGCGTTGGGTACGGTTTTGACAAATTTTGTGGGTACGATTGTGACATGTATTTCTTGACTTTTTCGTGTAGAGAATAAAATAGAAAAGGAAATCTAACTCAATCAACAATAAGACAAACTACGAAAGAGAAAGGAAAAAGAGAATTCAATACAAGAACTAGTGGTGTACGGCATCGTGCCTCGGGGCTAATTACTGGAACTACCCATACCGTAATAAAATATTCGAGGAATATTAACAGTTTTCAAATAGATTATTATAAATACTGTAACTTATATATGTTGAACTAAAACTTAAAATATCCTTACGCATTAATAAGTAAAATTGACAAACACGATTTGCAATATATAATTTTATATTTTTCAAGATCTCATTTCATAATAATTATATTAAAATATCTTGTTGCATCTACAAATAGTCCAGCATCCTCATCAAGTTGTTTACAAGCTCTCTCTCGTCTGCAAATAATTTTTACCCTCTCAACTCTGGTGTCGTTTACGACTAGAGGACTAGAGGTTGGTTGTATTAAATTCATTTGCTAATAGCAACTTCATAATATCTCAAGTACTCGTGTATAGAAGACTTTGTCAGACGTATCATCAGACGGCAAAATATTTACTTTAATATGACTTTATACGACTTGAGACCACGGCAGAAATAGCTAAGAGCCATGGAAAAGCTTCGGTACATACTCTCCTTTCAAAAGGAGACTACTAACTTATATGCTGTTTCATAATGATATATGACGGGAATTATGAGATTTATATTTCATGTGCAAGTGTTTATTAGTTTGATTCGAGTAAATGGAAAATTTAAACCTCAGGGAATAATGGATTCATTTTCAAAAATATGAACTAGTCGTGTATGGCACCGTGCCTTAGGACAAATTGCTGGACCGTAGTAAAACACTTGAGGATTAACAATAATCAAGAATCAATAAAAATATTTCAAATATATTATAAACATTGTAAATTTCATTTTCTGTATTTTGTAGACAAAATATACGATTTTATAATATGGAAGGCAACCTTTATATATGTTTACATGGCAAGTAAGTACAAATAATAAAGTAAACACAAAACTTAATCAAGCGTGTTAGAATGAGAGTAATTAATCTCATATTTCTAAGAATTATATAAATCTAATTGCAAAGTTAAAATATTCATTTCAGATACGTAGGTTTTCAGCTAAAATTAAAATCAAAATTCAAATAATTTTCAATATTAAATTATATTTTGAGATTATATTTTTTTTGATATTCCGAAATCAATTTTTTTGTGTTTTCCAAAAACCATTTCTTCACACTGCTAATACAAGTAAAATTGTTTTTGAACCATTCAAGTCGGATGCTTTACCTCAGTTTCTCCGAAACGGTTTGACCTATCTTTGCAAAAACTAATCATTACGTTTCCCCATTATTACAATTTGAATGTTTTCTGAATCATTAAAATCGGATGTTTCATTATCTCAAAAACTTTATTTACATTTTCTGCATTTTTGCACCGTATCTCCGAAACGGCTGAACCAACCTTTGCCAAAAACTAATCAGCACGTCTCCTTGTTAAAAGAAATCAAAGAATTTTTAAATTCTGTAATTCGGTTTGCAGACACACACACATACACACATTTATTTTTTTAATAATAAATTAATAAATATTATTTGACATTTATTTAAAGGATAACTCATGTCTAGACAAATTTAAAATCAGCGTGTCATTTACAAATCAAGTATCATCTAGAGTTGTCTTATCAAAAATTTATATAATTTTAATTTTTTACATAAATATATGTAGGATTGTATTTAAACATAAATAACAATAGAAATATAAATAAAAGTAATGAACTCATAATGCTGTGCGGTACAAACATACTCAATGTAAATATTCATTCCAAACTTACAGAACAATAAAAAATGTGCAAAAAATTCACAATTAGTTCCACATATGGTTGAATATTATTATTTTTTTTCAAATCTATACAAAATTATGTTTCTAACTAGTATAAATTATTAGACTTTGTTAATACATTTCAACATCAAATTCAGAATTATACAAAAAATTAATATACGAGTTATGAAAACAAAACTTATTCATGATTATGTAGAAAAAATAGCACCTCGTTCTCCAATATTAAAGAACACGTTCTTTATACAACGGCTTCCGCTTAACAAGCGGATACTTCAAATATTATCTTCTTTTCTGAATGAAAGATCAAGTACGAGGAAAATGAGTATCGACTTACTTTTCTTTCAGTTTTTTTCCCTTTGGTCTGTTCATTATAAACACGACAGACGGGAAAAACAGTTTTTTTCATCTTTTGATCATAATAATAGACACAAAAAATACTTGTAATGTTTTTCAAAAATAATTTTCATATCTATGATCGAGAAATCGATAGAATTACCGAATCGAAGGGTCTATGCACGTGTAATGATACCGTGCAGAAAAAAGATATGACGTCGCATTAACCTTATATTCCGAAATGTTATTACAAGGGAAAAAAGTTCAGCGATTTTTTGAGTACGAAAGGACAAATCGTTCCGACAGAACTGTGACAGGTCACGTCACTTCGCAATATTTCATATGTGTATTAAAAAAATACATGCCACAGTATTGCAAATATGGGGAAAGTACAGTCAAGTGGGGATAAAATTAAAAAAAAAATATATTCAAAAAAATCATATTCAAGATATTAACAAAGTTCAAATGCTTAGGTTAATAACCATTTCTGAATGAGTACATACATCTATAACAAATCGATTGGAAAATAACTCAATTTCCGTCAGTATATTTATAGAGTCTTATTATTGGCATCAAAAACACCTTAGATATTATTTAGAATTAATTAGACCTGATATATGAAGCATATAGGCGTAAAATACAACAATGAAGAAATACATGCGTTGGCGCTTTAATGAAATTAATTCGAAAGCTCTTAGGATAATAATATTAGGAGGTGTACTTGGTATAACATCTAAATGTGTATTGCTCGAGGAAAATAAGGATATTTTTAGGCATAAAAATGTTTGAGATAACTTTTGGCAGTCTGTTTTGTATTTAGCGAAAAATTACTGGATGCCAAATAGGTAAAATGCAGTAATAAAATTGATAACGTGTTAAAAAAATTTTTTTCGACGATTTTTATTATTATTTTTTTGACGGTAGATACCATAGTCTTATAAATCATACTAAAATATTACGGCCATACGGCAAGTAAAAAGTTTGCAAAAATTAGTATCATTTTTTGGCATTTGTCAAAATTAGACCTTTGATCGACGTTTTCTTAAAAACTTTTGAACCGATTTCAGAAATTTAGAAGCCATTTGATGTATCTCAATGAGACTATCGTTCGTCAGTTTAGTGCGACGATCTGCCAAGCCGTTTCTTTGTAATTTGGAAAAAAGTGGTAAATCTTTCGTCCACATTTAAGCTCATATTACCGAATCGATTTTAAAAAATCAAAAACTGTTCGAAAGATATTAGTTGAGAATGATACTGATTAGTTTTAGGGGAAAATCTACCGAACCGTTTTCTTGTAATTAACTTTTAGCCGATTAAAGCCTTAAAGCCGATTTTTATGGAACTTTTTTTGGTGATACATAATATCATGGCCTTATAGAACTTACTAAAATATTACGGCCTTACGACAAGAAGTTTATTTTTAAAAATTCATCACAGCTTGAGAAAATGAGTAGTTTTTTTGACATTTGTTAAAATTAAAATTAGACGATTTACTTGGTATAACAATACAGTACGTGATCTCAATGAACATACTAAATCATTAAAGTCCTACGAAAACAGTTTCAATTATAAAAATTGTTGATTTTTGAAAATTTGCCATTAGCAAATACTCCGAGTTTACTTGTTCGTTATGGGTAATAAACCCACTCGGAATACTTTTAATCTATTAATTAAATCGATTATTTATACATTTCGGCAGACCAATACCAACTAGTTTCTTTTTAATTTTCACCTCACGTTTAGGTCTAAGATTGTAACCATTTTTTTTTTTAAATAATATTTTTTCCAATATGTTGCGTGAATGCAACAGGTGCGTTCGCCAGCTTGCACTTTAGAGTAGTGTTTTTTATTACCTTACAACAAGAATTGACCATAAATTTCTTATAAAATTACTACTTACAGTGGACATGAAGCATCATCCTCTTACTGACAGTTGGAGGCACCCCATTGGCAGCAATGCAGAGATAGGCGCCCATTTCCGAACGCGTTATTTTGGTCAAAGACAACATTTCGCCTTCCACAGACAAAGCTGAAAATAAAAAATAATTGTATTTCTCAGCAGTCTGAAAAATTATTACTGTTCTGATTGTTGTAGAATAACATTTGGATAAATAAATAGTTGTATATGTGTGTTTGTGTTTATATTTGACAAGAATCATAGAGAATATAATTCACAATTAATATTCAATTTCACAATATTCGTGGTTTTCATAAATCATAAAAACAAATAGTGTACTGTGACAGCCATACAAAAAGTATCAAATAACGCATATGGTTTCGAAAAGTAGAGCTCATTTATACTGTAGAATCTGATATGTACTCGTACTCGTACTCGTTTTGTGTCCGCACTGCATCATGCAAATTGGATTTTTAATTTCGGGACATGTGCCAAAAGTATCTAAGCTTTTCAATATTGACACTAATTTTTTTTTTAAATTATTTTTTAGAACATAAACCGATTTATTTAATGAGCTATATGTATTTACAATATACTAGTAATTTATACTCATGCTAGATTAAAATAAATTGATTTAAAATTAAATTAGCTAAAAATAATTATATTAGCAAAAACTTCAACATATATATTAACTTTCCACAGGGTAAGTTATAGTAATCATCTGAAAAATAAAAATAAAAATGCTTTCACGTTTTATGGTTTCTGAACATTTTGGCATACGTCAGAAAAAAATGTACGTACGTATGTTTGGATACAATTTTTCATCCACGAGTCTCCTACTCAAAGATTATAAATAATAATATTTTGATTGGCAATAAATATATGCAAAAAAAAAAATTATCCATAGTTTTGTGAGCACGGATCAACCTATTTGAATGATCCAAAAAAAATGGTTCGCATTGAAGGAAAGACACTCTAGCTTATAGCAAAGACCGGTGCACAGGTTTGGGCGATAATGGGAAAAAATGCTAAAAATGACAGTTTTTGAGAAAATATAGAATCCGATTTGAACGATTCAAAAATAATATACTTATATTAACGGAATGAATAGTTATTTTGCAAAAGCAGGTCCAGCATAAAAAAATGGCATTTGTTCGTCAAATATTATCTTTACAAATCATTATTTATTCAGTTTTTTTTTATTCACCTACGAAATTATCATTTCTATATTTGATACTATTAACAGAATCCATCCAGATAACAAAGATAAAGAAAACTAAATATTATTTTTCAAAATTGAATTTAATGGACCATACGTTTAGAGTCCCAATTTGACTTTTCTTCGCTGGCAATAGAAGTACAAAAAGTGACAAATAAAAAATATTCGAGTTTAACATAACACAAGTATAAAATATAAAAAACACAAAAAGGTAAATCTAATATAAGGAATACATAAGATCCGAATGTTATGAAATAAAATGTAGAGAAACTTATCACCTTAAGTAAATATGCACTAAAAGCTAAATGAAAACGTTACATATAAAAATTGTTACTTAGAGGCATGTTAATGAAGTTTTGTTTTTTAATATTCTACTTGTTGCTTCTATTTCTATGCCAAATCAAATTGCATTTAATTTGAACTCAACATTTCAAATTCAATGTAATTGTCTAAGGATCTATCCGATAATTGCTGGCGTGTGAGTCGCGCACAGTACTGACTGAGCTATTACCGCCACAAATAGAATTATATGGTAATTTAGAGGACTGGTAGATAGGTAGTTATGTAGACAACTGGATGATTAAAGAAATAAACAGTAATTGGATAAAAAGTAGATGATGATACAGATAGGCAGATAAACTGGTAGAAAAATCCCTAAAAAATCGATCAAGTGATTAATGAACGCCCTCTGTATAGGTGGCCAGGAAGACAGGCAGATAGGTAAAAAAGTAGACAAATAGATAAACATGTTGAAAGATAAAAAAGTAAAACTTAGATTTAATTGAAGTGAACAGGTAAACAGGTAGACGGGAATAAATGAACCTAGATAGACAGGTGGAGAGGTTGACAGCTAGGCAGGTAGAGAGGCTGACAGCTAAACAGGTAGATTATATACAAATAAAAATATTGATTAAGTAATTTTTTACACATATCGAAAAGTTCATGCAACTAGCCACAAGGGGGTGTCCATTAATCACGTGATCCATTTTTTAAGGATTTTTGGGCCCACCCCCCTTGGTGATACGAGGTGATATTCAAATTTATCAACACTCTACCACCAAACATCACGTGTATTTTCAGTTACGAGGAAAAATTGTAATTTTTTTAGATTTTTCTGAAAATGTTTGGAAAAAAAATTCAGGTAAAATATACGTGATGTCTTACTATTTCCCCTCACGTGATATTTCGTGATTTTTTTGTCAAACCCCTCCTTGCCCTGAAAACCTCACATGATTAATGGTTGCCACCCAAGGCAAAATGCCACTTACAACTAGTGAAGTTTTAATTCGATGATTATCATTTAATGAATAAAATTCTATAATAACTTGTTGAGAATCTTTCACTTCTATATTTACTGTGGAATGCAATTATACATTTTAAATTAAACAATGAAACAAACGCGGATGCGGTTTGAAACCCAAAAAATGGGAACGGGAAACAGAGACAGCGGCAAAAAGTGAAAAAAGCACAAAAACAAAAAGTCTAGATTCAAAAATGACTGCGTGAATTTCAATGGGCGAACGAATGACTATTTGTTTCTGCTCTTGGTCGAATTAATTTCATTCGATTTATTAAAAGCGGCTCATTTCGCTGATTTACTTCCGCTCGGGTTGCGAAAAAGCATTTATTACTTATTAGAGCACCGCCGTGTCTAACCGACCGTGCGCGTTTATTATACAAGTGTGAAGGGCGGGCGGATTGTACGGGATAAGGGAAAAAAGGGAACGAACCGGAGGCAAAACGAGGATCCTTCTGAGGGATGTATATGTATACTAGCTGACCCGGCAAACGTTGTTTGGCTATAAGAAATAATTTTAGTATTAAATCTTTAGTCTAAAACTAACTAACTGATTGCAAATGTGGTGCAGTAAAAGGAACAGTTAACAAAAAATATATGGATAGTTTTGCTCACTGCAAAGCACGTCACATATAAATGTCCCTTAATAGTCTTTGAAAGTGCATAATCTGAAACTGATTTTATTTAAATTTAATTGGCACATTTGAAGTTTCAAGATTTTGATATATTATTTTCGCGCTTTTTATAAATTCAGTAATTATTGAGTTACGCACCAAAATCCAATAATTAATTTTTAAATTATATTGTTATGTGGCACGCCCGGCTAATTGACCGAGATTTAAAGAAAATTAAGAGTGGAAAGTTTTACAGTTTTGCCATAGGTGTGTATGGTACCTAGTTCCCTATCAGAAACTGTTGATCTTGAGATTTTAATATTCAATCTCTATTTTTTTTTGCAAAAATTGTTCATTATGCAAACCATTTATCAACTATGTACTGTTAGTGCGCATCGGGAAATATTTGTACAAAAGGAAAATGGGAAGGGTAGACAACCCTTGATAAAAGTAATTGTTCTTTTTTTCAACTAAAATTTATGCTTTATCATAAGGTTTGTTAAATGTGAATTAAAATTCAGTAAATAACACTTATTGGTTAAAAATTATTTGATTTCTAAAATGTCTATTATGAAATAGAGATTTGTGAAAGGAGGGTGAAAATGTAGAGTTGTATGTATTTTTCAATTCTGCATTAAAATTAGGAAAATTGGCCACAAAATTAAAAAAAATGTTAGGGTGGGACAATCGTTAATAAAAATAATTTGTTTTTTAAAGTAACCTTCAAGAATTTTCATTAACTCGAAAAAATCTTAACTAAAATTATGTCAAATAATAGATTAAATTAAATTAAAAAAAAAATTGATTCCAAAATTTAAAAAATGGCGGTCAATTCTTTATAGAAATAAATGGTTTTTTGAAGTAAAAGGAGTTTTCTATGTAATTTTTAATTTCAAACTATAAAAAATTGAAAGAAGGAAAATTGGTCCCAAAATTAAAAAAAGTTAGAGGTGGACAAACACTGATAAAAATAAATAGTATTTTGAAATAAAAGTAGTTGTATGTATTTTGTGAATTTTGTGAAAATAAAGAAAATTGACAAAATAAAAGTATTAAGGTTGCACAACCCTTAATAAAAATAAATAATTTTTTAGAGTAAAATTTAAGTTTAGCTTCAAGCTCAAAAATCTAAATTAAAATATGTTAAAAATATTCAATTTTTAGTAATTATAAAAAATGAATCAATTTCTAAAATTACTATACAAAAATAGGGGTTGGTGATATAAAAGGAAAAAAATTTAAAAAAATTCTCCAAGAATTAAGCTTGAACAACCCTTATCAGGTAGAGTAGTGAATACCAATACAAATTTTGTGAGAATCGGTATAGCCGTTTTGAAAGAGTACGGGAACGAACTTCGTAAGACGTAAATTCTATACGTTTATAAGAGGGATATATATATATATATATATATATACATGTATCATTTAAAAACTTTCGTACTTTTGCTCTTGCCTTGAGGACCTCCTCTAACAATAATTTCCCCGCCATCCTCGCGTCTCCATACAACTCGAGGTTTTGGAAAACCTCTTGCTTTGCATACAAGTTTGGCAGAACCTCCTTCTGGTACCATCATGTCACCTGATGTCTCTTCATATAGGATATCAGGTGGTATAACTACTTCTAGAAAAGCAGTCTGCAATAGAAAAATTATTTGAATCAAATTGAACCATCTCCAACTTATCCACTCAAATCATTTTTAATAGTAATAGGTAAAATTTATGTCATTAGAAATAATATTGAGTTTCTGAATTTATTTATTTCAAGATAATCCGAAACTTAACTCTAAAAGGTCAAAATTTTATTCTGCTATGCAGTTGTAATTTATATATATTTTTGTATCTCTTGTGGTATAATATTCAACTATAGTTTCACTGCTCTATTCTTTATATTAAGTAGCATTTGTTATTATTATTTAAGCAAGTATTATATGTCTATTTCCACTTAATTATCCAAATCAATCATAATATGTAATATATAATTTTTAGAAAATAATCGGTATGTGATTCCGTATATAATTACATATATTTGCTTGCATAATGCAAAGCGTTTGTTGGCAAATAAATAAATAGTAAATATTAAATCATTTATGAACCATGCATTTTAATATGTTTGATTGCTTAATTACATTAGAACAAATACGCAATGTAAATTAGAGGGCTCGACAACCTTTTACAAAAATTACAAATTACCAGCACATTATCTTAATAATATTTCAAAATTGCCTATTTCTGTCTTAAAAAATAATTTGCCTGAATTTTTTTTTATGTTTTTCAAACAGGTTCAATGTATTATTTTTATTTTTAAAAGGATTAAACAAAATAACAGTTACATCATTCAATCAATGTAAAATACAAATTTCATTGGTACATTTTTTACGGAGATAACACTGTATATAACCTTGATCTGGTATTTTGCCAGTATTCATCAGCAGAGCTGGAATAAATATTTATTGAATTTGACTCTTGTAAAATTGCTTTTTAAACTAAATTTGCTGTTCTATTTAATATTTTTTATTGTTTGCAGCTTTGTCAGTGCAAAGGTTTAGTTGGTCCTTTTTGCCCCACCCACATGCAAGTTTTTATTGAGGTTTTATAAAAAGATGGTTGAATTGAACTTAAAGATAACAATACATCTTATAAAACAATTAAAAGGCGTTTACTTAAAAATTATATTATAGTGTTGTAAACTAAACAATGGTATTCAAAACCAAAAAAAACTAATAACAAAACAAAATACTATTTTATGGATTTTCAAACAATGCCGTTCATCACCTATAGCTACGTCGTAAGAATCAGGGTGATGTCTGGCTATATATCTTTTGCACCCTACTTTCAAATATTGTTTTTGAAAGACTTTACTTGTTTTGATATTAATGGCGGACCTTTTTGCCTGCGGCTCTTCATATCTTGCTCTATTCTATCATACCATATTTTAAAAATAATTTAGGGCCATGAGGCAAATGGCTGGTACCAAAAAATATTTTTTTTAAAAAACCAATAACATTTTTTTAAAACCTTTTTGAGAAAAAAAATTGACTTTTTTGAAAATTTAAATTTTTTTTACACTTTAAAATTTTCTGAAAATTTTGAACTTAAAAGAAATATCGAAGCGCGTAAGCGCCTCATTGCTGTCTAACGGATAAACATTAATACGGAATAAATATAATTGTTAACAAAATTCATAGTTATTATTAAAATCTCTATAAAATATTTGATAATTTGATATGCATATGTCTAATGGTCATTTTTGACCGCCAAATGGCGTTTATTTTACTTTGTTCACTCCATTTCTAAAATCACTATACCTCCCTTCGCAAAAATTCAATTTTTTTTACCCCTTAACTTCAAACGGCTAGAACTGTTTTTGCCAAAAACTAATCAGCACGTCTCCTTATCAATAGGAAACGAATGCTCTTTGAATTATTCAAATCGGTTGAACCTTGTTCGCAAAATCGTCGACAAAAATTTGTATTTGCACACATATACACACACAGACATCCATTATTTTAAGATATGCCAAAATGTTCAGAAACGTTTGAAACGTAAAGATATATAGGAATTTTCATTTTTGATTTATTTGCGATTACTTTAACCTACCCTACGGGAAGTTAATAATTGAAATTATTAAATCTCATTGAAATATCTGTGAATAAATTTATTCTAGAATTTATGACTAGTAGTTAAATAGAGACTATAGTGAATAATTTAACCAAACTAGGTGTCACTATTATCAAAATTAATTCATAAATATAATTCGACCTGTATTCTGCCTTATCAGCCCCCTGTCTAGTTTATGTGGCAATATTTTCCAATTCGGCAATCGTGATTTTCATACAAATAAAGGTCAATTGTAAATAGTGCTCTGCCCGCTTGTTTGCATAATTTTGTGCGCCGCTATGCGGTTATTGTTTTTATTATTTTAATTGGTTGAACTGAAACTGTAACTATTTGCATAATTGTGTAATGTACGACGACCAGATATAATATTAATATGGATAGATCGGATGACGCCGAGATAGCGATATTTGTAAATTAATTAATTGATAAATTGATTTATTTGTTGGGAAAAAATCAGATCGATGGCACCGATTTAAAAACCATATACCTGCAACTCGGAGCCGCAATCTGACGCAAGCGTATCAGAATTTGTGAACATTGCAGAAAATACATTAATAATAAGATTTACACTTATTTTCTGCAGCATGTAAAAGTTGAAAATTTTTTCCGAAAAACAGAGGGTTGATTCCAGTATCATTATAATTACTTGCAGTTAGCATCATAACAATTTTTTTATCATTTCACAGTCAAATGTTAAATGATATAAAAATCGTTTTTTATGATTTTACGAATTGCTCGGTTGTTTTGATGTATTTAAAAAAATATACTAGTTAAAAGTGGCATTTAGTCTCAAGACAAGTTGCAAAAAGTTTCCGATAGGTGTAATAATTGACTTAGTCACTTGATATTGGTATTTAGATATTCAGATAAAATTTTTAACTAATTTTTACTTCAAAAATCAATTTTTCGGTTGTAATTGAATCCTAACAATACGACTTGCAATTGATTTTTTTCAAACACATTTAAATTACCTGTAATTATTATATTAATTATATTGCACAGACACGTGCATATATGTTTTAAATTGCAGTTAATTCCACATTTTTATGAATTGACAATGTTTGGCTCATCACATCATAAAAGCAACTTTTGAAATAAATTTTGACTATGGTACTTTTTCAAACTTTGATGATTTTTTAAAATTAAACTACTTCCCGTAGGTCCGTAATATTTCAATATGATCTATATATAAGACTGAAAAATCATAAAAACTATTGTCTAAAAATCATGAAAATCGTCGAAAAAAAATTTACTTGTTTAATTTTACAAGAAATTGTGCCTACGAATTTTTACCAAAAACTAATCAGGTCGATTCCCAACCAATATCTTTCGAACAGTTTTTGAATTTTTAAAATCGATTCAGAATTGCGGGCTAAAACGTTGACGAAAATTTTCTCACTTTTCTGCGATTTACAAAGAAACGGCTTGGCAGATCGTGGGGCAAAATTGAACAACGATAGTCCTCATTTTGATACATCGAATAGAGGTTAGGTTCATATACACACACACACAAACATATTTTTTCCAAATTTGGGCTCATTCGATTCAGAGTGGCTTGAAACATCGAGAAAACATAAAATCAGCAACTCGAATTTTTTGATAAAAACAAACTTCTCCTTCGAGAAGTCAATATATAATATATAAAAATAATTGCACTAAATGCATATGCGTAGAATAATATGTGCTAAATAGTTGTTTATTGAAAAACTGTTACATAATGATTGCTAAAAGTTTATACTATTATTTATTATTATTTACTACTCTGCAATTTATTCTTATTTATTACCCTGCAACAAATCAAAGAAAAATCATACAACCTGTTTTCTTTTCAAATACTTAAAAAATACCGAATTTTGAAAACCCAACACTGTCTCATTGTTTCGGTTTATTCTAAGATTGAGGACCCTTCTTAACACCCTTTTTAACCAGCTTATTGATACAATTAATTATGAATAATAAAAATGATTCTCACCTGCATTTTCATAGGATCCGTATTGACTTGACACATATACTGTCCTCTGTCTTCTCTCCTGACATCTCTAATATTCAGAGTCCAAGTATTATAATCGTTATGCGTGACGCTCAATCTTGCATTATTTGTGATCACATGCTCATGTATGGCCAGAATTGCTTTTGTATCGGCTTTTATCCAGGCCACCTGGATAAAGGACAACCAGACGGACAACCAGGAAACCAAATGACCAGGTAGGTACATGAAAAAGAGAAAAAACGCACACAAATGCGCGCGTGTACCGGAACGGCAACGCGGTTACTAAAAGAAAATTTGGGAAACAAATTTTTATTGTGAAAATGATTATGAGAATTGATTATGATAAGCATGTTGATTGTGAATATGTCATGTGTGTTGCGTAATAAAATGATCATTTAAGTATGAATATGTAGACTAGACTTTATAAAGTGGAAGTGCCATGTAAGGGAGTACTCTAGACTAAAAGTTTCATAAAATTGATTTATTTTATATTTTTGAAGTATAACTGTTCAAGAACTTCGTACAATAGTATTTAAAAAAAATTATATTCAAAATTTAAATTATTTTTGCATAACCTAAAAATAAGAAATATTAATGAGATGTTAAAAGAAAGGAGCAAAAAATATCACGAAAAACTACCAGGTCACCCAAACATTTATTTAAAAGAGTTAAGCGAGGAATATCCCACACGCAGATTGAAAAAAAAATGGCCATACGACCTTAAATAAAATGTCAAAAATAAAAAAAGAGAGATATCTCATAGGAGATAATCTCTTATATGCATTAACACCAACATCATATTGTCTTAAAAAATGTATTTTATTTTGATTGACAATAAAACTATGCATATATATATATATATATATATATATATATATATATGTATGTATAAATATATAAAGCTGTTTGAGCATGATCGTCCCCTCCTCTCTCTTTTTCCACAACAAAAATTTAAACGTGTTTTTCGATATGGTATCCACGATTTCTGAACTTCTACTGAAACAATTTACTTAAAATTAATACAAAAATTTTCCTATTGATTTCTCATCAATATGAATTTTGCTCAACTCCTAATTTCGATTTTTTAGAACATTTTAACAATAACCAAGACTCTCAAAAAAGTCGGAAAAAGATTATTAAAGTACATTTAACTTTTCCGTTGTTCATGTAATTTTTTTTTCTTATTTTTCTTCCATTATTAGAAGGGCCAAAATCAGGAGTATGGTCACTTGACCACTTTGTGACCTCTATTTCTGCTAGAATTACAATTTTTTGCCTATTTTTAATTTTCAAGTTCTTCTTTATTCTTAAAACATTAATTAATAACTTGAATAAAAAATGGATTGAAAATATTGTTCGGCTTTTTTATCGGGCCTTCAAAAATCACATCAAATTTATGACTCTAGACTAGAATACCCCTCAAAGTGAAAGTATTTGTTCTGAAAAAAATCATTAATATTTCAATCGTTTTTATTATAATTTATTTTGTCATATATATCTTGTTATATTATAAATTATTTTGTTATATACTCATATCTTTTTTCAAAGCAAATACTTTCACCTTAAATGGCTCAACCTGTATTAACATATAATTTATTATTCAGCCAATTGGAAACTTTTGAGTAAATATTCGATATTGTATATTCAGAGTTGAAAATTAATCAAGAATTCAATTTAATCAAAGTTTGATAAATATAGAAATTCTTTCTCTCATAGTACATGCTGTCCATATGATTTTTTTTCAAATTTAAAATATAAAATATAATATAATTCTTTGTCTTTACAAAATAATGTCACGTTTAATTTTATTAAAGTATTACATATAGCATGCATACATTTTGAAATAGATCTGATTTTTGTTATCATTTTATAGTGTATTGGAATGCTGTGTTATTATATTAATACTCTTTGAAATTGAGTCAGTATTCAAAAACTTTTAGAAGAATAATACTGAAGTTAAGGAGATAACTTGGTACATTTTTTGAATACATTTAATTACGTACTACAATTTTATTAGAGTTGAAAGTTATAATTGTTTAGAAATGAATATTTTATGTCAACTTGAAGTGATGATAATTTTCTTTTCAAAGTTATAATTATTTACAAAGCAACTACATTTTGCGTTATTAGGTAAATTTTAAAGTAATGTGATAATTTTCTGATGAATTATGAATTTCATTAATGTATTCTATTTAAATATTAGTCTCTTCGAACAATTTTTAACAAAAATATTTTTTTATTATTTTCAGAATTATTTAAAAGTCTATTCAAAAATTGTTCCAAGTTAACTTATAAAAGTGATGTTAGAAGCGTTAGTTTATGTTTGAGATGAAATTGTGCATATGTTGAAATAATCGTATAAAATTTGCTTTCCATCGTTTTAAAAAATTTAGTTCGCCATGTTTTGTTACTATTAAAAATATAAAATAAATTTTCAAACAATTCCTACAATTTTTGTCTTGTTGCAATAGAAAAATATTCACACATTCACGAATGTGTCACATTTTCACCAAAGCTTCAAGTTGCACTTAAAAGCTCACAATTTTAAAACTATGTAACATACTTTTCTCTGTTTTTTTCATGACTTTTATTATCAATACGATCATTCTGTTACGGTGTGACGTTTAATTTTGGGACACCCTGTATATATATATATATATATATATATATATATATATATATATATCTATATATAATATGCAAATAATTATATACCGTGTGTTAAGAACCAAAGCCGCAAAAAACCGTCTAAATATAAAAATAGCTCGGATATTATTAATAGCAGTTTTAAAAGTGTTTGGCATAATATTGTTTGGCGAATCATTAATCTGCCAGTTCATTTACGTTCAATGATTTATATACTAACGCGTTACCAACGTTTTCTCCGGAGGTCGTGCAAAATATATTATTCCGGAATTTATTTTTGTATAAAGTTTACATACTAATAAGGGAGCTGGTAATATACATATGACTCTATATACTGAAGATGGATTTCTATATTACATCCAATTACACCATTCATTGATGATCTGCCTTCAAGGCAAATTATAAAGTTTTTATGAACTTATTATTATGCTTGCCCTTATAAATGTGTTAATCCATCATAAATTGCTTTTGGTGAGTCCTATTTCCATTATTAATATCCGTAATATTATTAAGTTATCTTAACCACAGGCAGTTGGCAATAGTAAACAACTATCTAAGATATATGTATGTAACCGAATATGTACATATTTCTCTAAGGGTAGTGTTGTGCTGGGTTTAAGGGCTATATATCATGGTAGCGAGCGAGTAATTCACTTGCAAACCTCCATACATCATTCTCTAACCGATTTCATATAGAGTGTAAATAAGACGTTGACCTCTCAAAGATTTAAACACTTCAATAAAGTAAAAATATAGATATTGTGGCACAGATTTTAATAAATTTGTAACCAAATATAAGTTATATTTTGTAACTAAAATTTTTATGATTTACATGTTACACAAAATTTTGGTACTTGTTATCAGCAACAAATCTGAAATTGAGTTTTACAATAACTGAGAAATATATTTTGTATGCATACTTAATTTTTTTCAACTCATGAAAAAAATTCTAAGGAGTCACATTTTATTTAATCCATTTCTAAGGGTTAGAATTAGTATTATGCACAGAAATTTAAGTATTTAGCTACTTAGAATAGGTCATGCCGAAATATTTATCAAAAATGATATTTGGGGCTTAAGTCTGAATAAGTGAGGATTTACTATATATAATTCAGCTCTAATTTTTTCTAATATATATAGCGTTTACGAAAAGTTTTGGGAAGCTGTCAAATGCAGATTGCATTGTGCCTTTAATAAAATCTATTCAAATAGGAGCAATTTAAAAACACCGAATTCTATTAAACTTCGAAGACTTATGCCAATTATCACGATATTTTTTGAAAATTATATATTAAGTATTAATAGTATACTTGAATATCTTGAATATATATTTTTTAAAGTCATCATATTACATTATAAACAAAATTCCGTATCATTAATTAAATATCATTGTTCAAAAATTTGTTCGAACTTCGAATTTGTTATAGTTATTTAAACTAGTGGTGCATTTCAAATTCCTGTACTATGATTTAATTTTTTGAAAAAGATTGAATTTTTAAATTTATTTGTAATTTGTATTATTAAATTTGTAAATATTTCATAATTAGATGTGCATATGCATAATGATCATTTTCGACCGCTAAAGAATGTTTTGTAAACTTTTTCATTAACCAAAAAATAGCATTACTTTTGGTATAATTGAATGCTCACATCTAAATATTTCTTTTATTTTATTTCTATATGTTCAAGTATGTTAATTGTTCAAATAATTAGGAAAACTGTGTAAAATACAATATCTAACTACATTTTGAATTTCTTAATTCGTTTTATGTATTTTAGTATTCGGACAACTCTCCAATATACCATTAATATTATTATATTTTCCAAAGTAAAAAAATAACTGTTAATGTATTAACAGTTCATTATTTGATAATAATTAATTACATGAATACAAACTTGGAAGGGAGTGATTACTATTTTCTAAGAATTAATTTTCTACGTTTATCAATTTATTTGAATAACAAGCAAAATTTTATATAGTAATAAGAAAAATTACGCGATGTAAAAATTGGAAAGTGAAACAATATATGCATTTTATTTACATTGCCAAATCTATCGTTATACAAAATTTCATCAAAAATGTGGGAAAAAAATTATAACAGTTCATTAGAAGAACACGAGCCAGCGAATCTTTACCAAAAACTAATCAGTATCTTTCCCAAGTAATATTTTTTGAAGAGTTTTTGAATTTGTGAAATCAAATCAGGATTACGAGCTGAAACGTGGACAATTTTTTTTTCACTTCTGCTATTAACAGAAACGGCTTGACTAGTCATCGTGAAAAAGTGACAAATGCTAGTCATTAACGAGGCAAATCGAATGGCTCTTAAATTTTTGAAATCAGTCCAGCCGTTTTTGAGAAAACGTCGACGAAATGTCAAATATCTGTTCACACACACATACACATCCATACAAATGTTTTGACACGTCAAGAAAACATAAAATCAGCAAATCGGATTTTTTGGCGAAAACAAACTTCTCTTTCGGACAGTTAATTAATAATCAAAATTTCATCAAACACC